ATTTATATTTGTGTTCTTCTGTTTTTCATTTTTATGGACTATGTTTCTGAAAATAACCATGGTCTTATACAAATGGTGTTGTGAATACTGTTGAATATAACTTCGAATGAATAAGCATTGAAAACTGGGAAGCAATAAATATGTATTTGTCTTGGAATGTGATTTCATAGAAGTATGCATCCAAAATTGCAACAGAGACATACCTAAGGAGCTTCAGATTTTGTAGTGAGAGCTTAATCTACACACCACTACATTCAGTGGTTAAGATTATTTTTTCTATTAAAATAATACACATATAGAATAGGATGATTTCCAAAGTATAAAATATAAGATTTGACGTTACGTACTGTTCAGTGAAAGCTTTAGTTTCTTCATTCCATTTATGCAATACCACTAGTATAAACTTTACCAAAAATAACATGACCTGAGATTTGAAAAATTATATATTTTGTTATAGAGAACACAATCGCTTTATTATTAAGTTGAATTATAGTGTTTCGAAACTTTGTAAGAAACTCAGTAAACATTAACCTAGAATCCTATTGTGATTGTGTGAAGTTCATGGTTAAAAATCAAGGAACCAATGCAAAACATGCGTTTAATACATTTTAGTCTACAGTGGTTATCTTAATGATAATACTACTATAGAAGTTTTGAAGAGATTATACTTACTGATGACCAATTTTGACAAGTAATTCTCTGAATTTTATTCAGAAACCCTGAAAAGCGAAGTTTAACCATGTCAAATGTAAGATAGCACCCCCAACAACAGCATTAGCAGATGGTTGTGCACTATTTCGACTCAGTGATTTTATTCACTAGATCTGATGTTTCTGGTTCTTTTTTCCGACTGGATAGTGGATGCTCACCACTGAGGTCTCATATATTGGAACGAAAGAGCCATTTAAGACTCCTCGGTCTTCAGTGATTCTTTAACTAAGACCAAACCAAGAAGTACACCATAAAGTTAATGATTATAAGAAATAGTTGAAGTGATATCTCATATCATTTATTTTACTTCATGATCAATCTTACAATCATTATATAATTCAACTAGAAATAATCAGAATTATCTACAGTTACTTTTTAACCTAAAAGCATATAAATTGAATGATGCTTTGATTTAGGACAACTTTTAATCAACAGTTGATTTAATTGTCACGTCAACTATGAAAATCATTGATTCACATGAAATCCTAACTATAACTAAAACTGACAACAATAATACTAAATTGTTATTGTCACATTATTTCTCTTCAATAAATTAATATCGAAAGTATAAAAATACGGTTACGTAAAACAGATTGAAACAAACCGAATTTATTTATTATAACCGAATTGGCTATGAATTATCCATGGATAACAATAATTGACATACATCGTTTTACATCAAACTTTTTGAAGGTTAAAAAAACAAAAAAATCATTTTTATATCAATCAATACTTGTAGAACTATTTGTAATCAGTTTAAAAGTGTACAGTTATAGTTGGGATTTGTTTCATTCATTAAATATGGGAATTAACATTAGATTTTATTTATGAGATAAACACTGATATTATTGTCCATTAAAACAATTCTATATAATTAAACCATAAAGTTTAGAGTATACAAAGCAACATAATTAATGTAAGCTATTCATGTTCCAAATTATTTTACGTTTTATTATGTCATACACTATTACAAATAGATTGGCATCATATGGATAATGATATTTAGCAAAACAGTAAAATATTCATGTAATTCCATTATCCTATATTTCTTTTACCCATTCAAATATTTAGTCTAAGTTTATTCGTTATTGTGTATATCATATAACCACATATTTTTAATATGACTGTTATCAGTTATAACATCAAATCTCTGACTTAACAAGATCATCTATTTGAATAATCATTTAAGCATCAACTTAGCTACAAAAATGCTTATCTAATTGAATGTTTCCTTTGGTTTCTTAGAAATTTTTATTCTTTTCACTATATTCACATAATAAGTTACTGACAAATAAATATATATTAGTAACTGTAAGGGTTTTAATTTTCATATCTTTAAGATTTAGAACTAAGATTTATTAGTCACTCACTAACCTATAGGGTTCCTGAATTAATGCCTCGATATCTACTGTATCCGTAAAGTAAAATTTCAAAGAACTTAAGCGTTCACTTGCCAGAATGAATGTCATGAGTTTGAGTCATGTGTGTGGGTTCATGGATACGTACTGTTGAAAAGTTCTATACTACAACGAAACAATCATTCAATGCTTCCAGATTTTCATGAATGGTCTAACTCATGTCGACTTATGAATTCAACTACTAATATTCAAAGCAACAACTATCAGTGTTGAGTTATCGTTTGAGTACAAACGTCAAAAATGTCAATTTATATTCACCTGATTATTTCATTACTAGTCACTGTACAACATGTAATATTTTGTATGTAAAATGATTTACTTTTTATTAACTTTTCTCTTATTTCATCCATTATATTATTAACTAACAAATTACAAATTATAAATAATAAGATTCATTTAGTGAAGTTTTGTTCTCTGAGCTGAATGGTTTGGTCGTCCAGCTCAGAGAACAAAAAAACTCCACCAACATCATCCATCTGAGTTACAAATCTTCTCCACCATCTCAATAAGATTCTAGTTAAATGATAACAAACTAAATTTTATAATAAATAAATAATTTTATTTAATATAAACTATATCTCTATTTATTTGTATATTTAACTGTCAATCAGTAAATAAAATCAGTTTACTTTTACATTTCTATAGTATATCAGATGTACCATTTATTATAGTATTCTTAGTAGGTTCTATACTTTTATGCTTATTTGTAGATAAAGGAAAAAAACAAAAAAAACAAAAACGAAAACAAAAAAAACAAACATACAAACAAACTTATTATATTTTTATTGGAAGAAAAAAAAGAAAGAAAACTAAAAAACAAACATTGTTGTTTGAAAATCAAGTTACTTTCTTTTATTTTTTTATTGTTTAATTAAACACTTTAAATAAAATACATTTTCATTAAAATTTTTTTAAAAAAAAACAAACAACATAAAGCTTAATTCATGAATTACATTTCGTGACAATTGCATTGGTGACTAAGTATTTCTATTTACAATTTTTTGTTTCATTTTTAGAGTATTAGAAAAAGGAGAAGAAGAAAAAGAAAAAGAAAACATTATGGATGGTTCATATGAAGGATTGACTTTAGTCAGATGATTATTGAAAACCAAAGTCATTTGAATATGCTGTATGTATCAAATGTATGTGTAATGTATAATATTGTTCATTTTACATATTTAGAACCCTTTAAGTTTGGCAATGAAAAAGTATTACTTTTAACAGAATGAGTTATTAAGCAAAGATGGATAGTGGCTAATAGTGGAATCCATGACGCGCATTTCGTTCTATTTGGGACTCATCAGCTGGATGTACCTGCATCTCAGAGTTGATGTTCACTCTAGCACTCAAACTCAGTACCATTCACTTCAAATGCCAACACATTATCCACTCAGCTACTGAGTTCTGATAGCCACTTGTTTTTGCAATGGGGTGAATTTAAATTCACTTGGTTTTGTTTTGCTTGTATCTTCCCATTGAGGTTTAAGACTGCAATTCATCAATCTGTTATTGGCATATGTGTATACTGTGAATTAAGGTAATATCAAAGCATACGCATCGTATGTATATATACGAATAACAGACTGATCAATTGCAGTCTTAAACCTCGATGTGAAGATACAAGCAAAACAATACCAAACGAATGAATTATTTTTATTTTACAAAGTTTTATATTGATAAATTTAGTGGATTCCTAATATAAGTGGTTTATAGTCAATTTGTTGTGAATTTTGTGAATACACTCAACAACTATGCTGTATGATGACTATACAGTCATATGTATATATTCGTGATTGTTTTAGGCAACTTATTTAGATATTATGTAATAAGCACTAGATAAGTACATCCTTGGAATCCTGAAAGGAAGCGGAAAAAAGGAAGGCCAAAGAACACATTACGTCGGGAAATAGAAGCAGATATGAAAAAGATGAATAACAACTGGAAGTAGCTGGAAAGGATTGCTCATGACAGACTTGGATGGAGAATGCTGGTGAGTGGCCTATGCTCCTTCACGAGGAGTAACAGACGTTAACTTAACTTAACTTAGATAAGTACATCAAGTCATGAATTTGTATAGGAATATTTTTGAACAAATCATCTAAATCTTTGATGACTCTAGATGTTCAACAATCACAGTAAGAAATATACAAATTTTTAGTGAAATTTGTCAAAAACATAATCAATTAAATGATACTTACTATTGAGGCATAAACTTTTCATGCTACAATTTATGTTAAAAATGTCATATAGGTTGTGTTGGTTTTAGCTTGATAAAGACTTATCATAGGAACTAATTATTAACGTAATCTGCGCATGATATGATTACATCATTCAATGAAATATATATATTTATATATATACCGTTAAATTATGAAACCCTAAATAAAGGGACTACTATTAGTTCGAGTTGAAAATTTCGATTAGGAAATAAAAATAATTCAAATCTATCAATGATACTTCAGGATGAATAAGTAAATTGAAACACAATCATAAAAACGCATAAATTATGCTTATGTTTGTCAGTATCTATTGTCTATAATGTTTCATTCAATAATATTACCATCTTATAATGATAGATCATGCAATAAATAAATCATATTGCCTAAACAATTGAATACGACGTATTAGATCTTGCTTTTATTTTAATCAATTGCATTTAGTGTATCATTCAAATTTAACTTTATTTGAAAGTGATGTTAGTAAATTGATTGGTTTGATTACTACTAGTCACGATTGTCTAACAAAAATCTAATGTGGTATATACTTTAGTAAAGTTAACTAGTCACACATGAAATAAACAACTGAAACAAGCATTACTAATATTATCTTTATAGAATAAACAGTTTATTTAATAACCATAAGATGACTTACCAACTGATTTTTATGATATAATAATTCCAAATTATCGATGCTTACAGAAAGCTCAATATTCGTAGATAAATCTACAGAATAAATGGAACATAGTCAAATTTAAAGACGTTAACATTGATCATTGTTTAAATAGATAATGATAATTTTAACGTTTAGTGTTAAAAATACTTATGTATATTTTCATATTGATTGCTTAGATCTCATTAATGTTAATCAGTCACTGAAATGCAGGTACATCCAGCTAACAAGTCCCAAATAAGATGAAACGTGATTCCTGGACTCCACCGCTAGAAACCACCCATCTCTGTTGAAAACACCTATAGATATATATTTATATTTATATGCAATAAGAGATTACACTGAAAACTGAACGAAATTCAATGGTTAAATCTGTTTTAGTCTTGACTAATAATTACGGTGCATTACGTGATCACTAATCTAGACTGAATGTCACTTTAACAGTAGAAGTGTTTAAATATTCCACAGAAAGATTCGGATTCAGACTTAAAACTTGTTTTATAAACTGTCGTCAAAGTAGTTCATACTTACCTAAGAATCCTACGGTATACAATACTTCCTATAAATTTTTTATTGAAATAAACATCTGAAATTAGCATGGAAGTAACTAGGAGGATTTCAAAACTTATCATTATAAAACTAGAATAGTTAATACAATTGTTTAAGTATAAAACTCTACACTTATTTTACACAATATTTATAAGTATCTATACAAAGATGATACAATTTAGTTTTATTTCTCAATCTGTAACACAAATAAATGTCTAGATTCATTCAATCGACTGGTCTTTCAACTTTTAACTAGTTATTTGGCTATACTTTAATATTTCACTTTTCTTCATAACTCCTGAGAACAATTCTTGCATAGTCTGATAAAATTAAACAAGAATTTTGATAGATAACTAATTATCTTCTATAGTAAGTAGAATGTGTAAATATTGGTCAGTAAATATTACTTTCATCGTTTTAAATAATTTAATGTTGAAAAATAAATTTTAATAGTTGAATTCATGAGTCTATCTAAGCTAAACCACCATTGAAAACTCAGAAGCACTAAATGGTCATTTTATCCTCTTCAGAAGTGTGCATCTAGGATCCTGCAAAAGGTATTCAACTAGTGAATTCAACTATTAAAATTACAACAAAATCCATAAACCTCATTCTGATCATAAAAATAAATTAGTGAGATTTCTATTAAACAAGTTATTTAGTACAACTACTATGACAGAAACATTCATATTATTTGTGAGTTAAATTCTGTTATTATTTGTTTTAATATTTGAATTATAGTTGCTAGACTATAACATTATAAGATGTTTGCGGATTATTTAATATCAAATACTTTATGAAATGTTTATAGTTTATTCGTTTTGAAGACTCCTTTAAAAAAAGTACTTGTACGCAGTATCAAAACTTGTAAATATGACGAATATATACAGGATTCCAGCTGAAAATCCATAAATAAAGCTATTATCATTATCATAGTTAGTTATATATAATATACCCTTTTGGGCCAGGGTAATTTTACATTGGTTTTCATGAGAACCAGACACCATCCGGACTTTCACGTGACAACCTAAACAGTACAGCTCAACCCTGTTTAACAGGGGAACCAGACATCATTATGCTAGACGTTTACCATTTAAATATTTTCTATTAACTCAAAATTTATATAGGTTATGTCAAAATAAAAGATAACTACCAGAAGATAGCTTTGGTCCCATTGATGGACCTGGTAAGTAACGATATAACTGAATCCATAATTGTTCCAACAGTTCAGGGCTGAAAACATTTAAAGAAACAAAAAGATGAAATTTTAAAGTATATTCATTTTACATATATTTAATGTCATTTATCACTATTTATTAAACTAAAACATTGTAGGTGTGCTGATATTGATCAATAATGGATAATAATAGTAATGACAATAAATTCATTCTTCACTTTCCTAAAAATCTTTATTTTCGGTGTTATTCATCATTCATCTTGCTGTGTTGAAGTAATGAGATAATTTAGCAGATGTAGATTATTGTCAGTTTCTACATTGACTAACTGATATATTGTTTTTCATTAATAGATGTTACTTTAAATGTTTATAATACATTTCAGAGTGTTAGTGTGATACATCAGTTTGTTACTCAAATTAATTGTTATTTTAATATATGTTATATTTGCAAACAAATTATAAATCAAATTACCTAGTTATTATTAGCATTATCATCTGTAAATTATGAAATACACATAATGTGGCGTGTGCTACTTATATTGACATAAGTAGTGTATGATATTAGCCGTGAACAGAAGGTCTGGCAGCAGAGAGACAAGAGGATCGAACAGTAAAGAATGGAAACAAAATGCAATTTGCATGAAAATGCAAGAACAATGAAGTCTGAGTCATTTTGAGACAATTGATGAATATTTTGCAAATTAAGCATTTACTTCCTGATTGTTAGATTTTATTAACAAGTTCTGTAATTTTGTGTTAAATGCATTCGACTGTCCTCAACCGTGTTCTGTTCACTACAATACCAGCTTAGAAATCAAAGGGGTTAAAATATGCCTTAAATTGATTCAAGTGATAAACTGGATTCATCTAGTATAACTACATATACAATGAATTTAATCTTTTTTTTAATTTGAGAGATGAGCTAATTATAATTCTACTCTGATAATAAAATTCTAAACTCAATAATCTATGAAACTTAACGGTCAGATAGTTTCTTAAGTTATTCAAACTGCAATATAGCTACTATTTATAAGAATATTTGTGAGATGTAAGTGAACAGTTTAACTGTAGTTGACCACCGAGTAAATAGGCGCTCATAGATATAAAATTTGTATATTTAATAATTGCAGCAATTTAAACCTAAGCACTTCCAGTTTTTCGTTTGGCATGAATATAACCTGTATATGAGATTTATAGATAGCGAGATATCATATATTTTGTATTGAAAGTGATTTTTAGTCGATCTTCAAGTAACGATGTGTAAATCATTTTGTATAAATCACATCATGGACTGATTTTAATCAGACAACCATTTACAACATTTAAAGAGTCACATTCCCAAACGAATCAGACATTCGATGCTTTCTGATTTTTAATGATTGTCTAACAAAGGTCAAATCATGGTAACAATCGTAAAAGTCAATAATCTTTACAAACCCATTAAACGTGGTAAATCCTCATGAAATGTTTTTCATATTAACATAATTGTTGAAATGCTGTAACCGAAATTCAAATAAAAACAATAGTGATAATTTTTTATCCACACTTTTGAATTGAGAAGACAGATAGTCAGAACTTAACTTAATTGATGCAAAGGGAAGATAATGACGTCTATCCACTGTGATCTATTTTTAGAAGTGTTTAGGTAAACAGTCAGTTTATTTCCTAAATTATGTAATTGAAAAATGTAAATTTTTATTATTGTATTAACAGGAGAATTATGTAACGTATCGCTCACTCTTGAGGAATTAAAGTTTGCCGGTGAATTGGTGAATAAAGGCCGATAATTCATGACTAATTATTTCAATGCATATATGTGTATGAAACATAAAGGTGTTTGTATACATCTATCAAAATGTGAAGTGTAGAAATACTGTAAGAGCGAAAATGGATAGAAAACCTAAAAGAAAAACATTTCCTGGAAATATTTTACAGAATGATCTGTTTACAAATAAGTAAATAAATACTTTCTGATTAAACTATCTGTATTAACCTAGTTTTGTAAATATTTTTATTTGATATGAAAGTTGATGAATTGATTTGGAATCTGGTGATGGTGAGACTATAATTTATGGACGACCTTTAGGCGACGCTAAAGTGTACTTGAGAATGTCCACCTACTGGCTAGAGCTAAATGAGGGTCTTTAACCAATGTTAAAGATAAGGATTATGATTTACAGTCGATGGTCAGATATAGGGATTAGATTTGGGGTTTTCATCACGAACTAACATCAGCTGAAAGGTCAAGACGCTATTTAACCAAATGGATAAAGACTTTCGCGCCGAAATGCAAAACCTGTTATCGTAAATCTGAATGGTTCGTCCATAAATTATAGTTTCGCCCTAGTGATTTATGAACTGTAATTTTAAATTAGAAGATCAGCAAACTCTTTGTCAGTTTCAAGTAGTTAAAATTCATAGTAATGAAGATTAATTTTAGAAAGGTATTTGCTAAGAGTTACAAAACACCTATCTAGTAGTAGGTTAGTAATAATTCGATCAATTGTCAAATATGTAATTTCAACAGTTGAGATCATGAGTCAGTTAAAACTAGACCACCATGGAAAACCTGGAAGCAATGGATGGCTGTTCCGTCCCACTGTGGAACTCCTCAGCAGTTCGCATCCACGACCCCGCCTCGCGGGATTCGGACCCAGGACCTATCGGTCTGGTGCCAGACGAAACGGCCTTTCAGTGCTTCCAGGTTTTCTATGGTGGTCTAGCTTCAATTGACTCATGATATCAACTGTTGAAATCGCTACAATCTCCACAAAACCCCTTCTGATATCAAATATGTTATTGCAATTTAAAAAGACAAACTTCAAATGTACTTATCAAACAAATGAAATTCTCTGAAAGCTGGTTGCCTGTGTTAAGGATTTTAATGAAAAACAATACCACTTGCAAAGAGTGATGTTAAGAAACATAACATATGTTTGAGTTGTAACCGACTGCAATTATTAGTACTAAGTTAAATAATCAATTCCACAGGCATAAACATGTAAAATTGCTTTATGTCATATCATTAAGAAATTGAAACAGAGCTATCGATCAATCATCAGTTCGATCTTTATTTGTCAGTCACAAAGTTTTATTTGCCAGTTAACTAAGGTATGTACAAATGTACAGTTCAATCATGTCACTTAGATAATAGTGTCATTTATTGAACCAAAACTTTATAGTACGCATTAGATCATAACTAGGGCGATTAACAATAATTCTCTTGATTATTTATTGGCAATTTCACTTAAATTTACTAGCAATCATTTACATTTATTTATTTACCTTTCTAACAGATAAGAACTGGATATGAATATTGACATGAAGGAGATCTTTGGAATAGCTATTGCAAAATATGATCAGCCTAATTTAAATGCGCAAAAATATACTAAACTAATTTTCAAACTTCGTAGTTTACATCAAATGTTGATTTTAAATGAAAAACATAGATCACTGGGCACCTGGATCATAACCACACCAGTAATTGAACCTAAGACATTTTATTCTCGTTGTGAGCGCTAAAATTTTAAACCATTCTGCTTATATCCAATAGATTACATGTTAAACTTCAAATAAATTTGGAACTGAAAAATAATCTAATTTGCCTGCAGAGTGATTAATAATTTCAGGAATAATATTATTTTTGTTTTAATTTATATAATTTTGCATAGAACCAAAAGCATTAACTAAGTAGATACTAATGGGTAATTACAGATTATTATTCCTATATCATAAATTCATTACAATCTATTCATTCATTTGTTGTATTCTAGCGGTAGGTAAATATTAGTCAACTATTTATTAATGAATAGTTCTGTAAATTAATAACTATGCTAATATATTATAAATTCAATAATAAATTATAGAAAAAAAGGAGAGCTGTTAATTATAGAGGGTTAATAAACTAGTGATGCAATCAATAAATGGGTTAATATTTCCTATAATATATGCAACTCATTTATTTATATCTCATAAAATATCCCTTTTTGAAATGAGAGAAAAAAAATGTAACACGTTGTCATTTAGTACATAGTTTACAACAAAGACTGGATACAAAAAAATCAGTAAAAACCAAGAACAGTTGAGCAGATTTTTGTCTTATTATGTAACATCACTTTAATACCTAGTCAAAACTGCACAAAGGATAGAACCTAGGACTGTTAGTTCTCATCGTGAGTGATGAATTTTTGAACCATTGAACCGAAATTCAACGGTTAACATATCTAACTTTAATCGATTCGCATTATTATGCAATCATTTTTAATGCCATCAGTGGATAAAACTCCCTTACTTGATGTAGATAAACTGGAATGATCATGGCTTCTCATCAGAACTCATGAAGAAAAATCGTATTAGAATGGTAGCTTTCTACAGTAATCTGGATAAAATTGATCCCTGATGTAGACTAAGAAATGTGGCAACATCTGCAAACTTAACTGTAGTAATAAATAGTTATTGGATTCAATATTTTAATCGATACCCTGTATGAATACTCATTTCAAAATCCTTTTTCATAGAATTTTTATCCAAAAAGTTAGGTAATCAATCCATCTTCGATTCAATAAATCTACTGTTTTTATTCACTAACATTTTTTTATCGAGTCAATGACGTTTATACTGAATAAATTCTATCCTCACTTTTTATTATCAAAGTTAAAATTTACTGATACCAGCATTTTTTTCTCATTCGACGCAAAAAGAAAAAGAAATAAATAGTTTTCACTGATTGAAATCATGAGTCAATCGAAGCTAGACCACCATGGAAAACCTAGAAGCACTGGATGACCGTTTCATCCTAGTATGGGACTCCTCAGCAGTGCGCATCCACGATCCCTCACCCCACGAGATTCGAACCCAGGACCTATCGGTTTCGCGCCAGGCGCTTGACCATCTAGACCACTGAGCTGGCCGGTATCCAACAAAGTTAATGTCTAACTTCAACCAATCCACGAAGTTGCGCCACCGTACACCATTGTCGTCAGTGAGCTGATAAATAGTTACCTACAATTTATATTTTACAATTCCTATGTTTCCTTAATAAAATATACATTCGGTT